GGTCTCTCTCCTAGCATCTGGTGGTTGCCAGATGCTTGACATTCCTTGGCCTGTGGATGCCTCCCTCCAATCTCCACCTCCATCTTCACATTGCCTTCTGCTCTTTGTCTCTGTGTGTTTCTTTTGTCTTATAATGTCACTCTCATTGGATTTAGGACTCACCCTAATCCATGGTAGATTAATGAGATAAGGATTTCATCACCATCCTTAATCTAATTACTTCTTCAAAGGTTCTATTTCAAAATCAGTCACATTCTGGGACTCTGAGTAGACATGAATTTGTGGGGATACTGGTGCACTTCTGGCACATGGGGACCATGCACTCTGCTTGCCTCTACCGCACCCAACGCATGCTAAACACCTGTGAGTGTTCTGGAATACTCAGAAATACTCACAGTGTATCTTTGTGTGCATGTGTAAAGAAATCACTGCATTTTGCCAACTCCATTTGTAACCCAAGAGATTTACTAGGATTTTCTGCTTCAATATGCATACCTTGTCTCTTACTAATAGTGTAGCCAGGAGAGAGCTAACTTGCTTACATGTGACCATATGTGCAGATAGTATGAAAGCATTGCATTCACTATTATAGTTCCTTTTCCCAGTTACTGAGCCAACAGAAGGGTCTTAAAATGCCAAAAGCATAAGTGACAACTACTAACGTCAGTCACAAAGCACTGTCATTATTATTATCTCATTTGATGCTCTAGTAACCAGGTTGAAGTTACTATTATCACCGTCATTAGAATGATCATTATCACTTTCATCATCGTCGTCCCTATTTTATAGAAGATAAAGAAACTCAAGGCTCATGGAAATTGTGACCTATTTGTGGTCAGTGTATGAGTCAGGACTTTTAGTTGTATTTGAGAATAAGCCAAATCAAACTGGTTTAAGTAAAAAGGGGAACACAGAAGAAAAATCCAAGGATCTATGAGTGTCAGGTACAGCTGGATCCAGGTCTCATCTCTCAGCTCTGGTTTCCTCTGTGTTGGCTTTATTTGCAGGTGGGCCTTCCCTCTTGAAGGCTAGATGGTCATCAGCAGGTCCATGATTATATCTGTTCCCTCAGTATATATGATGAGAAAAAAATGCCTCCTTAACAGTTACTCCTGCAAAAATCCTAAGGCTTGACCTTCTTGGCCCAGATTGCATCACACCTACAACTCTCAAACCATCAAGCCCCTAAACCACATACACTGAGAATGGGGGTAAAGCCTGTTACTGGCAAAGGGAGCAATGGAAACTGCAAGATAACAAACCTTTGGAGTTTTAAATCGCTTAATTCTGGGGGGATTTCTTACACAGCAGTGGATAACTAATACACTCTCCAAGAGCCCTCTGTGACATCTCCTATAGCATAGCTCTTTATAAACTATATTCCCTTATGGACATCTGTGGTTCTGTCTACACAGTTTCCATTGCTCCCTTTGCCAGCCCAGGAATGGAATTTCTTTCTCTCTGTTTCTTTGTACTCTAAAATATGCTTTGCACTGGATCACATTTTGGTAAAATGAGATTAAATGATAAATTAGGCCAAAGAGTGTGTATTTGAGGTTTGTGCTAGGTAAGATATAGATATAGATATAGATATAGATAGGTAGATAGATATAAATCACCCCTTGAACTTTTCCAGAGGTTCTGGGGATGTTAGCACTACCAGGTCCTTAATTGTTTGGCTTTAGATAGTAGAGCTCATTGATATTAAAGGAAAAAGTTTGTACCCCTCTTCCGTCTTCCCCTTTGGGGAAGGAAGAGAATTAGGCTTCACTTCTTGAAAGGAAGAAAATCAAAGAATTTGGGACATTTCTTAAAACCACCACAGAGAGTCTGTGGATAAAGCAAGCTTCTGGAAAGAGCTTGTTTCCAAAGTAGAGGGGGAGTTTTGAGGGCTGTGAACCAGCAGCCTATAAAGAATTTATAGATGTGGGTAAGGAGGGAGAAGACCATTCTTTCTGTCTAGGCTGTAGCTCCAAAATTGGCTGATCTGGTACAGACAAGATGTTAATCATTCGTGTTGGGGTGAGGGGACAGTGAATGTAGAGGCCTGCCATGATCCTTAATCGATATAATTTTTGGGACATTTAAAGCATATACCCAGGCCTCAACCTCTGGAAATTCTTATTCAGTAGGTCTGGGGTGGGGTCCAAACATCTGTATTTAATTAAATGATTTAAAAATAAAAAAAACTATTCAAGGGTTTCTGAAGAAGACTTCTGATTGAGAACTTCTGCTGCTTTTTTTGCCCACGAAAAGCCACAGGCCTCTCTATCCTGGGTCCTCCGTCTTCTTTCTCTGAGACTAATTGAGGGGGAGGTCAGTTCACCTTCCAGCATGTCGACCGCCGCCGTTGGGACCCCTGGCAACCAACCACACTCAGGGCTTTTTCTTTTGAACCCATAAAGCAGCCTTTCTCAAACTTGGATGGCATCAGATTTACCTGGAGAGTGACTGTGGGGCCCCACCCCCAGAATTCCTCATTCAGGGGGTCCAGGGTGGGAACTGAGAGTTTGCATTTCTAATAGGTTCCCAGGTGTTGCTGGGGCTGCTGCTCCTGCTGGTCTGTGGCCGCACTTTGAGAGGTGCCACTAAAAAGCATAGGACCTGGTGTTCAAACTTGCCTCACAAATAATCCAAGGTCTTCCCAATACTGCAGGCAACAGCGACAACCAATGAGAACAAACAAAACTGTGTCCGTTTTGCCTGAGACAAAAGTAATCCATGGTGATAGAGATCCTAATAGTGGTTATTTTGGGGGGTAGGAACTGGAAAGGGAGCATGAAATGTTTCCAATATTCTGTTTCTTGATCTGAGTGGTGGTTACATGAATGGGTTCTCTTTGCGAAAATGCCTTTGAGCGCTACACTACAATTTGGGCACTTTTCTGTCTATATGTTATACTTAAAAAGCTTACTTAAAAATTAATAATCATGATAAGTGGTGTCAAAACCTGGAGGAAACGAGCCTCCTCTTCACTAGCCTGTATCTGTGTTTACAAGTTGGCTTTCCTTTGGGGGTATGCTGGCAACCCAACAAAGAAAATAGTCTTTCTTCTTTGCTGGCATCATGTGTGTGTGTGTGTGTGTGAGATTCCTGGGGAGTGACTGCCTCCCAAGCTGTCATTTCTTTGAAAACAAATCCAGATCTTCAAAAGAAAATATTGTAAAAGAAATATTTGCATGTTTTAAATTCCTAGAGTAATAGAAATTAATAGAATAATTTGAAAAGCAAGATAAGCCATTATTAATGCTTTTGGAGACTCCTAGTTTGTGTTCCCATATGCACCTTTATTGAAGTGAGAACTTTGGGAGGGAAGAAAAACTCTCCTTAGATTTACTGCCCATTTCTTTGAAAGGGGCCTAAAAGGCATATGATTTTTTTTCTTTTGGCTGAGGACAAGTGTCATTTAAAGAATTCTCTGTTTCATCACAGAAAACCTTTGGTGGCTTAGTGAGCAGCCTTGTTTTGCAAATTTCTTGCAAAAAATGCTAATTATTACAAAACTCTCCTAGAGACCTTCCACTTTCTAAATCATTCCTTTTCTACCATTTAAGTCTGTCGCTAAAAAGGTTTCTTCACTCTAAAAGGTTGTTTTCAAATATAAATGAGGCCAGGTTGCATTGGGACTTCCGATTTTCAGGTGATCTGCGAAATTGTTATTTTGAACCTCAGGAGCTAAGTGGGACACTATTAGGCATCTTTGCTGGTGATGACGATGGAACTTCAGACAGCTGGAGGAGACAATGGCTGCTCCCCTGTTGGATGTCGCCAATCTATGAGAGAGCCATTGTAATACTTATCTAAATTCATGGGCTTCTGAACCAAACCAACATGGGATTGAATCCCAGTATCAGCAACTGTGTGGCCTTGGGTAAATTACTTCTTTCTCTCTCCCTCCAAACTTCAGTGTTTTTCTTCTGTTAAATGGGATTAATAATATCAGTCATAGGGACGTTAGGAAAAATACATATATAAGTAGGAAATATTCAATGAATGGTAGCATAATTATTAAGGGATGAAAGGAAATTAATAAACGGATCATCTTATTCAGTTTCAAATTTCCCAATCCCTATATCTTTCTGATGCAAACATGAATGAATAAATGGTATTTATTTGCATGTAGATATGAGTGAATAAAGAAAATATGTTTTTTTCTCTCTGCAATAAAAACTGTCTGTCTAGAAATGACAGACGTGGCGAAGGGGTGAATGGTGGCCAGGAATTTGGGGTGTAGTGGGCACAGAGCACTGTGACTCTAATGGGAGCTGGAGGGAGAGCTTTGTGGTGATGGAATAGTTCTGTTCTTTCATTGCAGTGGTCGTTACACAAACCTACATGTGCTAAAATGGCATAGAACTATACACTTACATTGTACCAAAGTTGGTGTCCTGGTTTTGATAGTGTACTAAAATTACGTAAGATAGAAGCACAGGGGAAACTGGGGGTGGGTATACCAGACCTCTCTGTACTATTTTTACAATGCCGTGTTAATCTACAAGTAGTTCAAAATAACTTAAAAAGAAAAAGTATCTATCCAGAATTTCCTCCCTTTACCACAATTACTGTATGCAGATCTCAAACTCTGTATCTTAAGTGATCCACTTGGAGTTCTGGTGTAAGCTTTGGTGTTTGACTTTAACTATAACACGCTTGGTACATCTCTCTCCCCACTGTTACCTCTTCCTTGGCCAATTCACTCCCTCATTACACGTGTCTAAGGATTAAATGGTAGGTAAATGTGCCACAGACAAGATTCCTAAAGAGTGCAAAGTTTGGCCACCTTTGATTCTAAAATATTCACAATTAACGCTGAGCAGTAGGATGAAACATGTGGCGAGATATTTCAACCTCCCACCCGCCAGTAGCAGCAAGGACGTGAGTATATTATTAAAATCCTCTGTGGATTGAGACGTAAAGAATTTATTCACCTTAGTGGCCAAGGACTTGACAAATCCTGTCTGCCAGGGAACATTCTAACCCTTCTCTCTTTGCTTCTCTAGGCAGCTTGAAATCCACTCCCCAGATGCTAAGCACACGGTGATCCTCAGGAGCAAGGACTCAGCCACCGCCCAGGCCTGGTTTAGTGCCATCCATTCCAACGTTAGTGACCTGCTGCCCCGAGTGATTGCTGAGGTCAGAGAGCAGCTTGGGAAAACAGGCATTGCTGGGAGCCAAGAGGTCAGGCATCTTGGCTGGCTTGCAGAAAAGGTAAGGAGGAGGTCCCCCCAGTAATAGTCGCTTCCCCAGGGTTTCCCCAGTGCTACTTGCAACCACAGAAGCCAGTTCTCCCATTCCATAGGCTGATTCTCTCTTGTCTGAGTTGGATCTCATTGGATCTTGAGCTAGTTGGATCTCTTGTCCATTTCCAACAGCTTGGCCTTTGCATTATACACAGGCTGTGTCTTAATCAGCCTTGATTCCCTCACATATAGTCAAAGATGTGGCAAAATGCAGGTGCTCACAAATGTTTGTTGAATGCATGAATGAGTGGGTGACTCGGTGAATAGTTTGATTGTCACGTCTACATTTGCAGGGCAGGGAAAATGAACTCACCACAGAGCTGTTGCTTTGGGAGGTAAGGAAGTTAAAACTGTTGCTGAAGAAAGAGTTTGTATGACTTTTTGGTGAATCTGTTTGTTAATAACACAGATACATTTACAAGTGATAGCAGTAATAATAACAGCAAGGATTTCTTCAGCAACTGCTATGTGCTGACACTTTTCATATATTCTATCTTATCTGTATTCTTAACCCAGGAGGCCCTGAAGGTCATCATTTCAGAGCTCCTATTTTGTGCTAGGCTGAGGCAGGAGAAGGAGGGCTATATAAAGATGAGTAAAACTTCCTCTCTTTCCCCAGGGAAGACAGCTGCTGTGGAAAGGACCTGGGGTCCTGTTAACACTGTCACTCTGATTTCTTTTCCGAGTTACGTGATATGTTGACGACAGTAAAACTCACTTTGCAGTGCTCTCCTGGGAGTTAACTCTTCCCTTCATTTCAAAGGATTGTGCCTTAGCCATTGTCCTTACACCTGCCCGCTGTCCCTTGAACTTGACCTTGAGTGCTCAGGAACACTGGACTTTTGGGACAGTCTGACCTCCCAGTGACTCACATTGTAATAGGCGGTAAATGGGAATAGTGATTGTCACATAACAGCTTTCCTGCCAGTGAACCATGTCACCTGAGAAGGCCCATTCAAATGGCACTTGAAAATAACACTTGAACACAGCGTTCGGCTCTTTTCCACCATTGTTCTTTGTCTGTGCCAGTTCATGCGTGGGTCTCAGCCACCAAGTTCAACACGAAATGGGTTGTTTGGTTTGGTGTTGTCCCATCTGTCACAGATTTCAAAGGACTAAAGGGACAATGCAGGTGGTTACCAAGATCATAATCAACAGAAACCACAGGTAGCCTCTCGTGACCTTATGTGTTAGGGTTCTAGATGAAAACAATATTGCAAATATGGATGATATCATTTTAGAAGTCACAGTCTCTAACACTCTCTAGGTTTTAACTCTCCAAATATATGTATTTTTATTAGGAGAAGGCCTATTAGTCAGGGATCTGTCTGTTGTAAGTGACAGAAAGCTCAACTCAGCTTGAGCACAAAGGGGTGTCTACTTCTGATAACTACAATGTCTAAGGGTAAGCTTCAGGCATGGTGTGATCCGGGGATTCAAATAATGATATTAGGCTTGCATCTCTATCTCTTTGTGCCCTACCTACTTTGTTGGTTTACACTCAGGCAAGTCCTCTCTTTCTTGGCCTGATGGTTCCAGGCTTGTGGTTTTCCTTGCAACTTCTGTCTCAGTGAATAGAGGACTCTTTGCTTAGCCTAGTTGGACTGACTTAGATCATATATTCAGCCCTGGGTTTGGGCTGAAATCAGCCTTATCTAAGCCATGTGCCCTGAGAGATAAAGAGAAGTGGTTCTCTAATGGGAAATTGAATGGAAGGCTTCTAATGGAAGACTGAATGGATTCTAGGAAGCAAAAGTAACAGACACTTGCTGTAGAAGGAAAAAGGGAAGAATTCATTGGAATGAAAGATATCCTCACTTGGTTAGGGTTCAGAGTGGACTTAGAGATGTAGTGTGTATTTCAAAGTCCTGGCAGGAGACAGATGGCAAACTCAGAAGGGATGATTGGAAAGCATTTAATGTAGCAATAATTTATAAGCTGTGGCCAAGGTCAGGGAAACCAGTTAGAGATGGAGAAGCACTCCAGAGCTGACAACATTGCATGGCTACTACCATCCCTTAAACTGAAATGGCAAGGGACAGGAGCAGTTACCTGGAACTAGCAAGACTTGTAGCTGTAGAAAAGGGCCACGCAGTAAGAGCTGTGGTCTTCGGGAGAGAAACACAACCCCTGCCGGCCTGTCTCCTGCTATTATCTCTCATTGGCTGAGGCTGACTGGAAGCTAGAGGCAGGGGAGTCCCATTGATGCACTCTGTTAAGGTCAGCCTCCCAGGGCACAGAGGGGGGTGGAAAAGGGTAGAGCCTGGATCTGGAGGGGCAGAGGGAGGCCATCCAGCACACACATCTCTCCACCTTCCAAGTAACTGAGATGGTCTCACCTCTCGAAGGTTCTCTTCTCTCATCTCTTTTAACACAAACTACATTTTAAACCATTATCATTTGGATAGCTGAAAAATGGTATTGTGTCATTATTAGAGATATTGAAATTTTTCCCAAAACTTCCATTTTCTCACTTATAAATTGTCTGCTTATGGCTTTTGCTTATCTCAAATTATCATAGACACATTATTAGGCATTCCCAGGGAGCAGTAATAAAGGCACCTAAAAAGCTCTTCCTGTTTTTAGAATATTATTGTTCTTTTCATGTCATTTCAGATCATCTTTATAGATGCTTCTTTAAATTGTATTATGCATTGTATCCATAAGAGCAATAATGACTTATCACGGACAATTATCAGAAGCAAGAATGTCTTCTATGACTTTCATCTTCAGAACTTCTCAAAAGATTACCACAGATCAAGTCCAAGGAAACAAATCCAAACTGGAATTTTTTTGAATAAATATTTAATATCAAATCCTAGTGTGAAGATATATGAATGGTTTTTAGCAAAATGTTACAATGAATAGCAAATCCTTAATACTGTGGCTTTCTTATATCATCACAAATATCAGCAAATTCGCTTGGTATTTGTAAAGATATAAAGTGTGATCCTATATATATTCAGCTGTAATTTACCTTAAATTGATAGCCTTTGTCTTTTCCCATACTGTTAATCTTTGATTTTGTGGATTAATAACAGTAGCTCTGGGACAAGGTTTATACATATTATCTTTAATTTCAAATTTTTAGAACTGACATTTACATGAACTAAAACAATATGAAACAACAATAACGACTTCCTTTTTAAAATCCTGCTCAGTGAAAATCCCAAAACCTCCTCTACGCCACACAGGAGGAAAACTTTACATTAATATTATTCTTTCCTGTGAGATGGTCTAGATGGAACTAGAAGAATGGCTCCCACAAAATGGCTAATTCTTGAGTGAATGGAGAGAGTTCAGTGCACTCCAAGAAAGGAGAATGAACATGAGAAAAAAAGTGGAAGTAATGGATTAATATAGCTTGTAGAGAGGCATCACCAGAGACTAGTCTAAAGGGAGGTGAAGGTTCATCCTGGAGGAAGGTGACGAGCAAATCTGGTACCTTGGATGGCACCAGATCTTCTACAGAAGATCTTGAAAGCTAGACAGATGGTTTGAATTTGATTTGGTGGGCAGTAAGGAAGCTCCAGATACAAAATCAGAGAGAAGGGAACATAGAGGTCATTGCTATGGACTGAATGTTTGTGTCCCCCAAAATCCATGTGTTGAAGCCCTAAACTCTAATGTAATGGTATTTGGAGGTGAGGCCTTTTGGGGGTCATTAGGTTTAGATGAGTTCATGAGGGTGGATCGCCCATCATGGGATTGGTGCCCTTATAGGGGCTGAAGAGACCAGAGCTCTCTCTGTCTCCACCACGTGAGGAGACAGCAAGAAGGCAGCCATCAACTAGCCAGGAAGAGAGCCCTCACCAGAACCCCATGTCGACATCGTGATCCTGGTCTTCCAGCCTCCAGAATAGTGAGAAATAAATGTTTGTTTTTTAAGGCACCCAGTCTATGGTATTCTGTTATAGAGCCTGAACTAAGACAGTGATCTAGATTCAACTTTTTCCTTCAACAGGTCAGGAAGCTGGGACTCAGAGAATGGAGGTATTTTATCTAATGTCACACTCTAAATCAAGATGCAAGAATAATTAGAGGGTGGGACAATGCTATGATATCCCTAGTTCTTTTATTTAATTTTTAAAAGAATCCACTGCATCTCTTCCACTGCAATCAATTTTATTCTGTCCTTGAACTCTAGTAGCCATTCTCTGGACTCTACAGTGTGAAGGTCAGTGCTGGGCCAATAGCCTTTGGCCTTGGGCCATTTTCATCATCTCCTTGACTTCTTGGTCCTGTGAACTACACCACGGTGACAGGTCCTGTGCTGCTTTCCCCAGTGAGCACCCTCACCTGTGGATGGCCAGGCACCCAATGTAAAGTCTTTCCCATGATCATACTAGTCTCAAAAGCTTTAACTCCTTGCAAGCCCCAGTCTGTCTCAAAAGGGCCCATAAATGCTAATCCTTACCCTGAATTCTAAAATACATCATGCCCCAAACCCATTTTTTCCATCATTGTTCTTTAGTTAATCTTTTTACAGTTATCACTGAGGTGTTTTCGATGGTCCAATTTCAGACCAGAGAAAAACAAACTAAATTCTCTCTTGCTACTTAGAAAAACAATACTAAACAGGAACAGGGCAGAAGTGTTGAATTCTGTTTTCTGTTCAGTTCATCGGGTGTTACCTTTCCTTTACCTTGTTATCTCAGCTTGCAAACTGTTTCTTATCATGTTAAAAACACTAAAACAACACAACACAACACAAAAAACCAGTTGGGAGCTCTGTGATGCAAGTTCAGTTCTCAGCTTTCCTTGTTTCCACTTCAGATTCTTTCAAATGGGAGCATTGGTGTAGCTGTGCCTCCCCAGCGTGTTATTGGTGAAAAGGAAGTTGGTAATTAGTATTTATCGTGTGTCTAGTGTGTCTCAGGCAATGTGCTTTAAGTAAGCCCCATCCTGTGAGGCAAGCTTGGAGAAGGTAACAGATTTTCTAAGATCACTCCTCCAGTAAGTGGCAGA